TGTGAGAAGAGACCAGCACCAACCTCTCTACACTGTCCTTTCAGGGAGTTGTAGAGAGTGATGAGGTCTGCCCTCAGCCTTCTGTTCTTCCAACTAAACAGTCCCAGCTCCTTCAATTGCTCCTCACAGGATTTATTCTCCAGGCCCTTCACCAGCTTTGTTGCCCTCCTCTGCACTCGCTCCAGCACCTCGAGATCTCTCTGTACTGAGGTGCCCAAAACTGGACACAACACTCCAGGTGTGGCCTCACCAGTGCAGAGTACAGGGGGACTGTCACCTCCCTGCTTCTGCTGGTCACCCTATTTCTAATACAAGCCTTGTTGAAGCTCATCCTGTTAACACTGGCCCATATTTGCTATGAGAAAAGCTCGTAATTAGCCAGACAAGCCATCTTCTTGTAGCCATTCAGAAGAACTGGAAGCAAGCACAGCAACATTGGTCTTGATAGTGGCAAAATATTTACCATCTCAATGGAAAAGGTGCCCTGAGGCTTATCCCAGGAAAAGGTAATTCTGTTTCCTGGCTTTGACTTTGCTCCCTAAACAAAGCACTCATTAGATAAGCTGCATGTAATGACTGCAGTTTCTTAGGTTAGTTGCATGAACCTGTCTCTATTTCTTTTATCTAGCAAGCTGACATGTTCTCTGGCAGGAATTTCAAAACCCAGAGATTTCTTGAATGCATAGCTGCATTTGGGTGGTTGTGTCCATCTTCTCCACAGCTATGGCTCAGCTGCCAGGCATCTGTAGGGGAAATGGGAACTCAGGTGTGGGTGGCCAAGCGGGTTTTTTAGACACAGAATGGGACAATACACAAGTTGTTTCTCGATAATGTTCCTCTCACAAGGAGGAGAAAATTAGGATAGACTATTAAATACAGATTTCACAGCCAAAGCAAACTCACTGCCAAACACCAGACTGCACTCATGTGGTAGGAATGACCATCGACTCCTGTTAGGGCTGCTGCCGCAGACAAAAACCAGTGTCCCACAGCAAGCTGAAAAGCAACATGGTCTGGTAGTATCATGGACAGAAAGTGTCACAGCATCCAGTTGCTGTAATGCGGCATTCCGCGCAGCGCTCACATTGCCGTCATGCTTTGCCCTGGGCAGCATCACTACATCACGGCGGAAAGTCAGTGAAAGCCTGTCCAGCCAAAGCCAGACCTAACGGCTCAGAGCCACTGAGGCATGATGACCACGTCAGGCAGAAAACGTGTGTGCAAAATACACAGGAATAGTTCTACACTGCGTTTTCAAGCTCTGTTATCTCGCCCTGCTATTTTAATCCATGGGGCTAAAATGTCCCCTCTCCCTTAGCAGCAGGCCTGGGTAGTGCCTAATGAGTTCACTGAAGAGAGCTGATTGATTTAGCTGGTTCCTTTTCTCTGCAACAGGTTTAATAACTGCACAAATCTCTGGGCAACATCAGGGACTAAAGATGAGAGGGGTTCTATCCCTCAGCGTAGAAGTAGTAATAAAAGCAGACTGGAAGTCTCTCCATCCTCACAGTGGGCCACTGTGGTGTCAGTGTCAAATATAACTTGACAAGACAGCCGATACCAGCAGGATTCTCAGAGGCAGTGAAGGTAATACAAGATGTTTCCTCAAATCAAATCTGTCTTGTAAGTTATTTATACTCAGGGGAAAAAAACTTTTCTAGTTTTAATCTTTGCATTTCCTGGACTTAATACATTGCAGTTTGTTTTTTAAAAATTGACTGCTCAAAAGCTGTTGAAACATATTGCAGTTAGCATGTTACTCAGCGAGGCTGTATCACGAGTGCCATATGGAAATGCCAAATAGCTTGTGTCACTGGCTGGCCCTGGTAATTCAGAGTTTAAAACAAATACCACTCAAGCTTATCTATGGGTACTACTGCTTACATTCAATCAATACCCTGGGGCAGTGCCCTCTGATAACGCTATCTGTAGTCCAGGGAAAGCTTGGAAGCTTTCTCACCAGCACCAGGCAGCCAGCAAACACTTTCTAATCTTCAAATAGGTAATTTGAAAAGTGTTGCTTCAACCAAAAATGATCTTTCTAAATAACTGTATTTGAAATGTAATTTTTGTAAAATTTCATTTCTTGGGGGAAAAGAAAAAGAATAAAGCTTAAAACATTCCAAACCAGAATAAAACATTCTGGATTAAACAAAATGTTCCACACTGAAAGGTAAGCAACACTACAGCAGGAAAAAGAAAAAAAAAAATCTCAATTTGTTCTTTTCCCAGCTTTTTTTAGTTTAGCTACCAATTCAAAATGTTGACATAGTCTGCTTAAGTGGCATTTCAGAGGAAATCTAATATTTATAAAGTAAACCATCTCTCTCTTCTAGACATGGAATTAAATACAGTTTGCTCTTCAGCTGTGTTGAGCTCTCATCTCTGCTTTCCATGATGCATGAGCAACGAACGCATCTTTTGGAGACCTATCTGATATGAAGTGGCAGATGTAAAAAATGTGACTTATTTTTAGTTAGAGAATTTTATTAACGCAAAGATATAATTCCTTCCTCAAGCATGATAGTCCTAAACAAAATAATTACTGCCAAAGAATGCCTTCTTTTCATAAAACATGTATACCAGAAAACCCACTCCCAAGCCCAACAACCATCAGCTATGTTGCAGGATAACCTACTAACCACTGTACTGCTGCTGAGGCAGCACCTTCCTATCAGTGACAATTTTCAAAAGTCAAAACCAAGTTGTTGCATACAGGCACATACAAAACCTAATGAACTCCAACATACAACTTCAAAATGTTTATCCAAAGCTTTAGAGAGAAGCTAATAGTTTTTTAAGTGCCACACAAATTTACTGAACTGAAAAGAGTATTAACATGATATGCTAATGAAATCTCAATTTAATAAGATATATATCCATTAAAATTCTCTGTACCTTTCTGTCGACACAGCATATTGCAAAAACGAACCATCAAGACCGCAGTTTAATCTGATATAAAATCAAATGATCCGTGTTAACAAGACAATTAAATAACTGTCGGAAACTAAAGAAAAAAATTATCAGAAGTTCACCAGATATAAACTGGTTTTGAATAATGTGAAAGCACGATCACTTGGTATGCAAACTTAAAGTTGTTAACTGTGATTAGAATAATATGGGTACTAAATTAGATACCAATTTCATTATGAAAAAGTCTAGCTCAGGTGCTTCAAAAAAGAAAGCAAAACTGCAAATTACATGCAGTTTATGTTGGCCTATTTAAAATTACTGGAGAATGCGTTACAAGGAAATTAGCTTTTGGAAAGGTTATTTGAAGGCAGTAAAGTGAAAAAGTATGACAGTTGCTTTTCTGCTGGACATGGCAAACAAAATGATGTGCCACATATGTTACACAGAGGCTTGGTAGATACTATTTCCCGCAACAAAACATTACCATGCAATGGGTACAAGCCATGGGAAATAAACCTTACGCTTAAAATTCAACAGCTTCTAGATAGTAATATTGTATACCTACAGCCTGAAGATGCAATATAGGGATCTCTCCCCAACAAAATTTTATTCTAGAGGCAATGCATAAACAGTCTTGTGCAGCTGCCTCATAGGCACGTTTGCCAGCTTTACTTTTGCAAAAGCAGCCCAGATGTTGGATGCTCAGAAACACTGTGGATCTGATCTGTGAGCACAGCTCTGGCACCGCTGTTTCTCCCTCCCTGGCATCACTTTAGTGCAGTAGTTGTCAATAAATCAGTGCGGTCTGTGAACCCCTGGAAGTCTATGAATTGCTTTTAAGGTAACTAAAAGGTCCCAAAAAAAAGGTAAGGAAAGGAAGCTTACACTTAGCAAACCTCCATATAAAGAGGTCCATATGTCCACAGAATAATTTCTGAGGCTCACAGACTTAATGAAGGTCGAAACTGCTGTTTTAAGGGTATAATTACCAGAAATGCAGCTGAAGCTAGGCACCTGGTTTGAAAACAAAACAGAAATGATCTCTCCAAAAGGAGATGGAAGTAAAGCAGCAGAGTCGTTCCTGGATGTGTAATGTTAGGAGTGCTCCACACCAGACACAAATAACCAAACAGCTAAAAAGTTTCATGATCTCACTGGGCCAGCACAGGAGCAGGGTCAGCAGTAAATGTGCCTGCACTTAATGGCCCTTTTTGCAGCCTCACTCAGCTTCAAGGGGAAAAAACCCAGCACCACATTTTCTTCAGGACACATACAGTATTTGTTATGTCTTTATTCAGGGAACTTTTGAGGATGACTCTTCAGGTAGCTTTTCTCTTCCCCTCTCTGTGCTTACCCACACTGCTTATCCACCACACCAGGAGTGAGCAGCGCTGTGTACAATTCCATGGGGGCCAGGCACAGAGAAGCAGCACGTTAGATACACTCCAGCTGTTCGTGGCAACCACATTTAACCTCCCTTGTAAAAGTAAATCTTTCAGATCTCTTCTTCTAACATTTATTTATGTATCTGAAACAACAGAAAGGGAAAGATGTATCTGGGGAAATAACCAAAGCTTCAGAATCACATTTGGTTTAAAATTCAACTTCTCCCCAAAAGGATGCAGCAGTAATACACACAGCCTCTGCTACAGCTGATGGCAACCTCGTCCTTTAAGCGGCAGTTCAAGTCAGTTCAGCCACTGTCCCTCTGCCCAGACAACAGTGCCAGCCCTTATGGAAGTGGCGTGACTGGACGGGGACAGTATCTGAGCAATCCTACAGGCGAGTTAGAGCCTTCCCACTTCAACACCCAGAAGCATCAGTGGTCAGTCTCAGCAGGGTCCAACATCTCTGCTTTCAGCTTTTTGGTGCATTGGGCACATGGATCTTTCTAGGACAGCTTTATCCACTCATGCACATAAATACCTGGTTTGCTCAACTATTATGTTAGCTCCTAACACAGGTGAAGTTTCATGTACATAAGCGCCTTAAAAATATCTTTAGAAAACCTGATTCAAAGACCACTGAAGTCACAAGGAACTTTTCCGTTTACTTGCTTTTTGGATTGTGTCCCAAGTACTTATCAGTTCCTTCAGCCCCTGTGCTTCAGTAGAGTTGAACTCAGCTTACTAAAGATGATACTCTGCTTTTTTCTTATTACTGGTTAAAATTCATATTCACAGCACAGCACTTTGAATCAGAGGTTTTCCCCAGATGCTTCTGATGCTTATCCTCCTTTGTTAAAGAGAATGCTAGTTCATATAACAGAGCTGGTAGCCTCTATTCAGAATCTACCATGCTGCAAAGAATGATGTTGTCAGACTGATCTTTCTCCAATAGCTTTTGCAGCACTTTTGTTATAAAGATGTTAAAGATAACAGGGAAGAGAAAAGGAACAGATTTAGAGTCTTGGGATAACAAAACACAAAGCATGAGAAAGAATCATAATACTGATACTTGTAATTGAAAGAGCTACTGAGAAAGTATATCCTGGGCTTTGGGGAAGAATGAAGGAAACAACAGTAATATAGGCTGCTCAAAAAATAAATAGATTTTTGTGAAAAGGGATAACAATAATTTTTTAGGGACTGTTAATTGTTTTGTTTCATTGTTGTAATTGAGATTTAATTGTGGTAACTGGAAAGAGCATCACCCCAAGACAGAACACCTTCAGGAGTCTGAGCCCCCAACTCACAATTACATTAATCCAGGGAACTATTAAGTACAATAGAAGTCTGGAAAAAGCATGTATATCATGGGAACAGAGATTCACAGTAGTTATTCTAGCTCTGTGAAATAGAAATGATAATGAACAGAATTTAAAATGCATTGATATTGAGAGTCCTTACTAACATTACATGGACAGCACTATGGTGCAGTCTTTAAGGCCAAACTCTGCTTGCGGTCAAGGTTTTTACGTAGACTTGTTAGGTGGCATTTTCCAAAGCAACAACAACAGAAAAAGTAAGATCTCAATCTCGTACCATAAAGCTCTAACTGATAACTATGGGAAGCAGATTTATGCTAGTGCTAAATACTTTGCAAAATTTCAAATACTGAAGAGTAGAGTCACATAAAGAAGAGCTAGATACAGGGGACAAAGTGCAAGATTTATTATGCAAACTACACATGTCCAAAGACAGCTGATGCAAGAGTGTAAGGGATTCCTCTAAAATGTATCATCATCCTTCATGAAAATTGTTCTATGCCCCAACTGAACAGAAAGTACAGGTTGCCCTTAATTCATCTTATTTTGGTTAGATTTCATATTCCTTGGAATTAGCCTTTTTTCTATTAGAAAGACAAAAAACAACCAAACAAGAAGCCCCAAGTCAGTACCTACCATTAAATAAAACCTGCATTTCCTCACTGACGAGTAATTGCCCCACTCTTCAGTGTGTACCAAGCTGCAATACCCAGGGAAGGGCTCTTGGAGCATGGTGATGGGCCGTTCAATGACGGGATGCATTGCAGCGTGCAACCAGGCTCTCTCATGTTCACTCCTGCAATGTTCCTCTCTCTTTGCTACACCTAATGAATAAAAGGATCAAACCACCGAGTGGATAATGTACCTGGTGGGCTCCCACCAAGTATCTTTTTCTTGCTTTCTACCTTTGTAAACAAGTTAAAAATGCAGCAGAGAGGAAAATTGCTAGTAACACTTCAGACCTTGCTGGCTTTCCTACATTTCCATAAGTTGTAAAAAGCCACTCTGAATGGCACAAAACGTAGTTATGTGAATTAAAAGGGTTGGAGTAATAATTTTGAAGTAACAGATGTCTAACTTGTCATTTTTAAGTGAAGTCTTCTGAAAAATTCTGGATTTTCTGGATTTTTTGCACAAAGCATTGTAGCCTGCAGAAGTCTTATAATTAAACACCTATCACAGTGAATAGCATGTACCAGAGTTGAGGATTAGGTGATCTTATTCCTGTAATAGGATTTGCCTGCTAATTGTCACTGAAATGACAGCAGCCTCTGTTAATAGGAATATAGGAATTGCTATGGTGGCTCAGATCAGCAGCCCATCTATCCATTAAATATCCTGTCTTTAGCAATGGACAGGATTATATGATTCAGAGGAAATGCAGGGCAGTCTACTGTGGAATAAACTACTATCAGGTTAAGTTTCTTCAATATAGTCATTAGTAAAAGTCAGGTTATGCCCTAAACCCAGCATCACTCATATTACTTGCAGAGCTCCTTCTACTTTGGCAAAGCAGCCCAATTTTTAAAATTTCTCTCCATAAAATTCTCTTCTGTGACTCTCGAACAATCTCATAATTCAGAAGACATACAGAGTAATGCCTCTCATTGCTCTTCATTTGAATTTTTTTTTTTTTTTTTTTTAATATTGTGGCATCACAGTTATGCCCAGAGCAGCTTGTGGTGGTTGCATGGTTAGAATTTCAGGGAGGACAAAGACCAGAAATTGATGGGTTCAAACAGAACAGAAACATGTGACATGGTGATGCAAAAAAGTGAGACGCGTAGAGAAGACTGCTACAGGCAGTTGCTGAAATCATAGAGCTTTGGGATCCGTTTGAGAAATCTTATTGGAATTCACAAGGCAACAGCAAACAGTAGGGGAAATCGCATCTGAACTCAGTGGTAACTCCGACTGACTTTAGAACAAGCTCAAATCTTTAGTCAGGGCTGTCAGGATAGATGTGAGCTTTCCTGGGCAGCTTCCCAGCAGCAAGGTATCCAGAAGGAACAAAGAACCACCTCTGCAGTATCAGCACTGTGCTGCCCTGTCACCTGTATGTACAATGTGCAAGGAAAGAGGATATCGAGGAGGGAGAGGAATGGAGGTGGGTGATGCAAAAAGAGCAGCTCTCTGAAAATTTGTCTCATCAAGGCTCAAAATAATGTTTGCCCGTGGGCTGGGTCAGTCAGTTTGTGACTTCACTTGTAAGCTGCAATCATTTCATGATCTGGGATTCTTGTTGGCTTATAGTCTCAAAAGCAAATGATCCTTTAGAAAACTTACAGGGTGACTTTTGCATTATTGTTTCCACTGCAAGAATAAGACAAAAACAAGCTCTGAAAGCAGTATGCTGCAATATCAAGTAATTATATCACAATACACTCAAGCTCTTTCAAATAATTAGTTAGCCAAACATCTGCTGCAAATTAATATTGGTCCAAACTTGTCTCCTGGGTAATTCAATGGACTTCAGTACCATTAGGCAAGGGATGATCTGCTCCAACGCATTTACTGTCTGTGGATAATTTGCTCTGGTTTAGAGCTTCTTCCTTGCATTGCTCTAGCTTGAAATCCTCTTGCAGTGCAGTTGCTATTTACTAGCTTGTGCTGATGCATTCACTTTTTCTGGCTTAACTCAAGAAAATTCAAAATGCACACACTGCCAAGGAAATGAATTTATTCAATAAGCCCTGCAATGTCAACTCTTACTAATTCTGTAATGCTGGAATAAACAAAGTCAGAAATTATGCATGGCTTTCTAGCCATTAATAAAACCTTATAAATCTGTAAGGACTCATAAATTTCACTGTACAAAAACTGATATTAAGGCAACTCTTGGAAAATTCAAATTGCATTTTAACCAAATGACAAACAAAGCTAATATGTATTGACTGCATTAACAATTCATAAATTCGCAGAAAAGAAATAAACAGTCTTTATAGTGTTGCCATGTCTTTGAGGCATTGATTAAACTCTGTAGATGCCAGTCCATCACTCTAGCAGCTACTCAATAAGTCCAGTGTTTGTCCATCAATGTCTTTTGTCATTGGTCTGACTGTCCTGCTCCGGTTGGCAGCTATTTCAAAAAATGAACTGTCACCATGGGATAATCAATTAATCAAGCATGAATTGCTTGACCGAGTCTTCTAATGAATGTTAACGTGTAAACACTTGTCAGACACTTCGCAGACCAGAGGGTTTGTGTGGTTGTATTTGTCTCTGGGAAGCTGACTGGCAGCAAAGCCTGTAAGCACAGACCTATCTCATGGTGTTAATAATGCACATTGCTTACAAGGATTTCTTTAAAGTACATCAGCTACAGCCATAATGATTTTATTGATTTTACAATCTTTTCCCCTCGTATGGAAATTGAGGTGAATCTTTGCAGGAAGAAGTTGGTACCTACAGGAGCGAGGTGAATATACATCGTCTCACCCCGATGTGAAAGGTTAATGCATTTTCATGAGCCATTGCCTCCTCTCACACACAAGAGTAATTTATACCCAAACTCTGTAATTACAATACTGCTTAGCAACACCCCAAAAGTTCTATTGCTATTTCAGTGATAAGGCTCATTCTTAGGGATTACATTTGTCAAATTAATATTAAAACTATGCAACAGTTCTCTGAAGATGTACGTTTTAATTATTTTTTATAAACACAGTGGCTTAAATCACTGTGGCTGTTACTAGCAGAAGAGTGGAGGGTGACTCTTTCAGTAAGCAGTATTAATTGTCTGCTGAGCTATATGGGATCCTGAGGCAGGCTTAACTATCAGTTTTGTTCCCTAAACTTATTTCTGAACCTATAAATAAATCATTTTATTAGCTAAAATGGCGAACAGAACAGGTTAAAGACTTTTTTAGACAAATAAAACCATTTTATTTTTAAGGTAACTGGATTCCAAGAACCAAACACTAGATTTTGTCCCCCAGAAGTTTTTTCTTTTTTTTTTTTCTCCACTGAAACCTCCAACAAAACCCACAGGAGAAAAAAATCAACACAACATTATTTTTCTACATACAAACACAATAGTTTCACATATAAATATACATCTTTTTGGATCATTTCCTCTCCTGAACAATCCCCACTGAACAAAACTGCACTTTTTTTAAAAACTGGAGCACTTATTTAGATGAAGGATTACAGATTCTGGAGTCCAACTTTAGTTAAGCTGGTTGTAAATTCAGAGCCCCTAGTCATGTATTTATAATTATGAGCTTCACTGTGCCAGTTCATAAGCAGAACTCCCCTCTGGTTAACATGGGGAGGTGTGCTGGAGATGGGCTGGGTGACACAGCCAAGCAGCAGCAAGACTCTGCATACAGAAGATTTTACAATGTCCTTTGTTAAATTCAAAATCACAATTCATGGGCAGGAACTTACCTTCTCAATTTTTTTAAAATACTGCCTCTGCTCTGAGCACATTTTTAAAAATGCATGAAGCTAATTTAAACATGCAAAATGTCATTCTGTACCTCGGTGCCACATGTCAGTGTGTGCATGTCTGCAGGAAAGGGCACCCATTAGGTATAAGAACATGCAGGAAGGATTCCCTTCTGGTACTGGCACACACAAGTTAAGCATATGGGAATGTGTGCAACCCACAGTATGCACATTAATTTGGATGCTCTGACATTTATGAACTTGGATTCAACGGCTTCTCATGATTACAGATTCATGTTTCTGGATGACTTTACCAGGAATGTCTTGGATGGAACCCTATGGGACTGTTTCATGAGGCACCAGAAGGGTAGCACAGCATGCCTAGTATGCTTAGCCTCAGATTTCTCTGAATCTGAGTAAATGGCACACAGCAATCGTTCTAGGAAAATGCCATTTTAATTATAATAAATCTTATTTAGCAAATTCCATTTATGAAAACGGCATACAGTACTGTGGAATCACATGCATAGGGCTCTTTCAGGTATTAAGGACTCGGGTAATACTTCATGGGGATAAAAGCAAGGTTGCTTACAGACATTCACAACTTAATCTAGCAATGCTAAAGAACTCTAACTATAGAAATGGCCATAGAGGCCACTTTACATATCCATGTGTTTGATATATTGGAGGGGAAAGGTATATGTAGTCTACTACAATTTAAAAAATAAGAAGAAAATTTTAAAATCTTTGTTTCTACCTTGTAATCCTACAACTGCTTGTTAGTCACCAAATATTTTGAATGTAGTTTTGTGAGAATAACGTATTTTGCAAGTATGAATCCGAGGCCAAGACTTGAGTTCAGTTTAGGAAGTTAATCCCAAGGAGATCCATATTTCTGCCTCTCTACTAGAGATCACTGTTCCCACAATTTGGCTGAATATTTAAGGAATTTTCATTTTCAACGGAAAGTCAGACAGTTATTTACAAAACTGTTATGAATGAAAAATAACTTTTTCCCTGGGTTATAACAAGTCTAACTCAGTTCTTCCAGCTGTTTCATCCTCCTAGATACATAATTTTGTTCACTAAGGCTGGGCACTTGAACCAGCCCATTTCCTGGCTGCAAAAGAATCATTCAAAACAACTAAGGCAATGGCAGTCTGGACTCAGCCCAGCCATGCCTGGGGGTTAGTTTAAATTTGCCTTAATTTAAGCCACCAGTGAAGGTGCTTTGAGCTGAGATTACTGATTTAACATGGAAACGCCTGATGCAATCAGACAAAAACAAATGGATAAGGGTAGCAGCATCTTAAAATGCCACAGTCTCTACTACTTATTATCTGGCAACTCACTTTCCAGAGGTTTTACATATAAAACACTGTGTGAGTACATGGATTATTCTGTTCTGAAATGAAGCTGTATGTTCTTTTATGCCTCCCAAATCACACAGTGTTATTAATCTAATATAAAAAGCATCAAAGAATGAAAATGGCATCCGAGACAGTACATATCACACTATATACATGCTTTTAAAAGCGTTAAGTTTAGCACTGAAAATATGCTTCCAGCTGTTTTAATGCTCGTTCCTCCATATATCTCTCATTTTGCTACATTATTATAAAAGAATATTTGCTTACAAATACATTATTTCATTCATGGCAAACACCTGAAACCAGTTTCCAGAAAGAGATTAAACTTATAAACCTTGGGCTTTATCAAATTTCAGGTTTCCAAAGCCTGAAGTTATATCAATGTACAGCTATTTTGTTTTAATCAAAATTGATTTTTTTAATATTACTGCCACTTCTCTTGATTTTCTGGAACCGCATGAGTGATAGGGCAAAGCAGCATGTTTCATTCATTCCTTAGATTACAGTTTGTAATGTAAGTGCTGCTTCTGAATATCCATGAAATTAAAATGTATGTGAAGTAGTAGTTATTTTCTCAAGAAACAGAAATGCCTTTGGAGGAGAGGCAAGCAAGAAAATCCCACCCAGGTTGCATAAAATGCTTTCTACCTGTGCCCTCTTGAGTGTGTTCTTCAGAATAAAAATGAAAAAGAGAAAGGAGGCATTCGAGCGTAACAAAAATGTATCAGTTAACACAGCTATCAAGTTTAGTTTGCGTAACGTCATGGAATCTGCTTCTCATTTATGCTTTTCCACTATAATTTATACCCTGGGAAAGTCCATGTAAATTGCTGGAAAGTAAGTAGAGAAGGGTATTGATATACCCAAAAATAAGGTTCAAACAATGTCTTTTTTTTTTTTTTTTATAGAACAGCCTGGAATCTTCAGACATTACTTACAGGTTTTATTTAAGGAACAGACCTTTTTGATAGTTCTCTGGATTTAACAAAGTGAATAGAAGTCATACATAAAGGATTGAACAGCCATTCCCTATATTTATGAAGCCTGGGATCTCCCCACATGGGATTCTCAATCTTTTCAAATTCCATGATAGCATTTCTGAGTTGATAATAACTATTCTACAGTATCATTCAGGTTTTGTTCCCAAGCCCATTTAAGTTTGCAATATCTGTATAGCTGCAAAGAAAATTTAAAACAGAAAGGCAAACTGTATCAAATAAAAATCTGTGACTTCAGTGGGATCACGCTGCTGTACATTAGCACATGATCTAGCCCACTGTCTCTCTCAGATGCTCTACCCAGGCATCACTGCACATGATTTCCTGTCCCGTCCAGGGTTTACTCATTTCTGAGTGGCCCATACCCCGAACAGATGTATTCAGCAAACCCAGTTTAGCACTAGGTTTCAGTGAAAGATGGCCAGATTAAATGTGCATGAAAACTACGTTGCACTGATACCTGGGAGTACTATCTATTTTCAGCAGCACTCACTTTGGAAGAGCAATGAAGTTTCTGACACGTGCTCTGGTGCCTTCATAACAGTTTTTCTTAACCTTTTGCCGAAAGCACCTGGGGCTGGGAGCTCCTCACTACCTACGACTGACAAGTCTGCTGCCTATACTCTAGATGAGCGATTCCAACATCACCCTTACCGCATCAACCCACCAGGAGCTGCCTGGGAGGTTACTGCCTGTCAGCCGCCTGCATTTTCTCACCCAACAAAGACTTGACTTTGGGGAATCTATGAGGTATATTTCATATGGCTTCAAATCCATTTCCATACCTTCTGAAGTGCTTTATCCGCAGCACATCTATGATTGCTGGGCTCTTTTTGGAAAGACTTTGCCTGAAGCATTCATTTTGCAAACACAGTCATACATGGTAAACCTTCATCACGTGCCTACTCCTGTGGAAATCAGTGACACAATGTGAGTATATGGTTTATACTTAATACACTATGGAGTGATACAACAAGGACAGAAAAGCATCTCCTTGTAAACAGACTAAGAACTGTGACGAACTGAAGCAAAGAAACATTACTTATACATTTCCCTTCCTCCCTTACTGCAAAAGTTTTTTCTCTTGTGGTATTGGTGTTTATTTCAGCTTCTACTCTTCTAAAGCTTTTTTTAATTCAGTGCTTTCGTTTTAAAATGCTGGCTGAAGATATAAAGAACCTATAGC